GGATCAGGCTTCTAAAGCACAACATTCCTTTAGAGACAGATGTGGAAACTCCCTCTAAATTGGAGGAAAAACCTAACCCCAAAGCAAAAAACCCCTTTCTTCCTCCACCAACAACTACTTGATTTTTAAAAATGGAACATAGGTGCTGTAAAAAGTACAAATTCTTTTCTTACATTGAAAAACAGTAAGAAGTTTAATACAAACACAGACAAAATACCACTAACTTGCCTCCTTAAAGTTCTGTTGAACTGATTTCGGGTCAAGAATTGCTCGTGATGGTATTTTCACCTAAATTATCTGCTTTTTTCAATTAGCTTTTATTATTTTAATGGTGGCTACTCCTACTATCCCTTAGTGCTTTGGCTGGACTCACATAATTGCCTATATTTTATGTAAATGGAATTGTTACACCATAAAATGATATACAAATGTGTCTCCCACACAAAGTCCAATAAATGGTGTGAATAAACCCATTATTTTCAATGTGACGGCATCTGATAGCAGCCTGGGAAACACGGGGCTGACAGATGGGAGCCCATGACAAGGCCGGGAAAAAAAACTGAATGAGGAGTGCTCTGACAGACCACAATTAATTGACTTTTGAAATAACTCCTTTTTTCACGGTTCTACTTGGCTGAGCAAGATTCACAAATTGCTGTGTTGAGCTTTTTAATGGGACAAAATAGCTGCCAATGAAAGTCTAAAAGACATGAACTTTGAATAGGAGTCATACAATGACCACACCGTGACATGTTTTTAACTGACATTGATTATTGGAGAAGTAGCAGCCACTCAATTGGGAGGGAATTGGGAAGGGGGAAGAGATGGGAGGGAGTCAGAGAGCTGGGCACTGAAACACACTCTGTTAAACACTAGCCAAATACAATTTTATTTTAGGAAGAGAAACAAGTATTAGGAAATACCCTGATAAATATTTTCACACATGTTCCCAGAGAATATGATGTGGAGTCTAAGTCTGTTGTTCCTTTTGCCGTGAAAAAGTGATCACAAAGCTAAATCAAGAGGAAATTACGTTAACAAGTAAGAAAACAGAGCTTGTAGGAGCAATGAGCGTGCTGACTTCTCTGGGGCTCAGCACCTGCTCCAGACCCAGGCTGTAGTCACAGTCAAGTTTATGCAGGCTCAAAATATCTCGGTCTTTCTTTGGAAACTGAGGCCAAACTCTGGCAGACCTCTTAATCCCAGGGACATCATGGGACAAGAACTTAGTGAAGATGAGGTTTGTTGTTTTTTTTCTCCCCTTGTTTTTGTACTACCTGCCACGCTCTCTAGCAATACTGTTGTCTGACTTTATGGGAATTCTTCAGAGTGTTTATTCCCCAAAACCTTAATCAGCCTAACTCACTTGGAGAACTTTAAGTAGAAAAGTCAATTTTTAACTCATTTTGCAGATGCCTTTGTTTTGGCTAGTTTTTAAGAGTCTGTTGAGCCATGAGAGCAGCTCCCTGTTGAGCTGCTTTCCACTAGCCACATGGGGAGGCAGCAGCTTGCAAACTACCAGTCCTTTAGTTTGATTTCACTGAGTAACATTAGCAATCATCACCCATTGCTGCTTCCAGGGGTGACTTAAGCTGGCAGATGCTGGACGTCACCTAAGGCTTTTTTAAGCATTTTCCAGCTGATGACCATGTCTTTGCTACCCAAACAAGGTCTCCAGTTTCATTGCTGGATAGGATGTTCCCCTCATGCTCAGCTAGGATGCAGCGTTACTGGTAAAGGGTGCGTAGCTCAGGTGAAGGAGATAGTTTAGGACAGCATTTGACAATCCAGAGGACACCACAGCCTATGCAGCTCTTCTTTCTCTCTTCCCCAGCTCTTGAATAACTCGGTGAGTTATGCAGTAAAAGACCTGTTATTTGTACGCTATAGCATCTTTATTTCTGCCTTCCTTACTGCTTGCTTCAACTTTCAGCAAGAACAAAACATTCAGAGTTAGGGTTTACTACGAGTATTTACTGAATTCAAAATATCACCATTCATTCACTTTATAGCTGAAAAAAAATCGAAATTCAACTTCTAAAACAGCTACAGGCACAGTCATAAAACAGATGGTATAAAATCTATGTCTATTGCCCTGACAAGGATGTCTAGCTGACACATCTCTATGAAATAACACAGAGTATACACAGTGAAGTGCATAGCTGATATATCAGTACAATCAACAGGTTTATAGCTACATAAGCATTTATTTTTCTAACCGCAGTATTTTGTGTTTCATTGTGTTTCATCGAAGAAAAGATTAAATTTAAACAGATCAGTGTATTTTCAGTGGGCAAGTGTTTCTCCATTTACTTTCACTTGTACATTAATATGCAAGTCATTCCACATCCTCATGACTTTATCAACACCAGAATTAGTTCTTTTTCTAGACCGGGCAAGTCAGGTTCTTTATAGTATTAAAAAGAGAAGTATAATTAAAACACATGCTTGTATCTACATTTTGTTTAAAGCCAGTTCACCTTTGATAGTTACAGGTCAAGTAAAAACACTTGAGTTGTGCTGAAGAGGCTTTTGAACCATTATTTATCATGCTGTAACTAATATTTATTTCTAGTGTTCGATATATCCAAGATACCTGAAGCTAAGCAAAATAGCAGTTGTCAGAAGTACAGCAATTCAGTTATGCATTTCTCATTTCATTCCAAATTAAAAAAACTCATTCTATCATTTCTAGTCATTCATAGCACAGCAGGAAACAAACAAAAAGAATCAGGAATACTGCGGCAGGCTTGTTTCACTGCCTGTAGTAATCCAGAACAACTTCTGCGTTAGATGCTGTTGGTCACACACCAATGTCACGTTTAAAGAACCCAACCTTGTCCAAGGTGGTGGAGTAAGAGCTCCTCTTCACTTCGCTTGAGTATCACTCCAGACTATGGCTGAAGAAGCCCATAGACTTAGAGGTTAATATTAACACCCCTTTGAAGTCAAGAAGCCAGCAATGGAAAATGTGGACTTTCTCCACTGCCAAGCCACCGGAGCACTTTTTTTCCCCCGTGAACAAGGGGACCGAGTGCTCCTTCAGGTCCCTACCAAGTGCCTCTGCAGCCCTGTGGCGCAGCCAAACAGCTACAGGGACAGGATTTCTCAGAGGCAACTGCTCTTGTCCCTCACTGCTGAAAAACTGGAAGTGCAGATAAAGTTTTGATTTCATTGTTGGCTCCTAGGAGGACACGTCCTCCTTCTGGAGCTTTTGAAGTGTTCTGCTTAGTTTGGTAGTTTTAGTGCTGACTGTACTTTGGAAAACTGAGATCCTTGAGACAGTACAACTATTCCAAAGATAGCCATGGCACTTTTAGGTCCACCAGTGATTCCCTATCCTATTCTGGCTGAAGAAATGGAAGCATCTTATCAGACTTTCGCTATCCTTGACAAAGTACTAAGAGTTTACAAACCAAGTAAAAATAGACACCAGGCCTGAATTCTCTAAAGCACTTTGGCCAATGCAAAATGTAGTCCCAGAGGTTCTTCTGAGACTCCTAACGATGCCCTTCCGAACTGCCAGCAGTAGCTTTGTCTTTTATTTCACCAAGTCCCTTAAGGGGGAGTGGTACAAATCCAAGTCCAGGCAGTCTCTCGCCTGAGCTTCCCTGTTCTCCATGGGCTACTACAAGAAACAAGAGCCAGCGTAGTGAGTCCAGAGGCATCCAGATACAGGCCCAATAACTATGAGATCCAAATACCTTGATTGCCTACTGATCTTTTTAAAGCTGTAAGTAAGAAGTGCAGACGTACAGATTCCTCTGTACATGGCGAGGACTTCTGAAGACAGACCACAACCCAAAGCAAAGAACACCAGGAGAATTAAAAATCCATCCCAGTGGGAATGGCCATATATTCTCCTTTGTGCTAATTCCCTGTATGTTTCAAAACACTCACCTGCCTGCCCGCAGGCTTCATGCAGAGAGGAAACAACATTTTCTAGGTACTGTGTACGCTGTCCCGAGACTTCTCAGTCCCAATAACATGTAGGAAGTGCAGTTTCTACCACCCGAACAACGGAAGATACACCAGCAGAGAACATCCCACCTCACAAAGAAGAAAAGCTTTATGACAGGAGACCCTGCTTTAAGTGAACAGCACATTTACGCTCCCTATGCAAGCCAACAATGCACTCCCTGAACTCCTCGGCACACAAAAAGAACCACTGAAGAGCCTTCAGCGTGAAGATGTGAAACATGTCCTGGGTCAGAACATGAGACAGCATGCTTCGTCCCACAAACTATATTATTACAGGGCAAACATTACTGCTCTGCAGGATGTCTTCCCAAAGACTCTCTGGCATATTCCCAGTCTCTGAGTCGATGTCGATTATTTCCTGGTGATTCTGACACCATTTCTTATCCATCAACTCTAAAAGTCTCTGCATTTCCAGTCTGATGAGATTTGTCATACTGGCTTTTATAACTTGGCGTCATAAGACCTGAACCTGCTGATTTTAATAGTTCATTCTGTACCATCTCATGGAGTCTGGGTACACTGGGAACACGTGTATCGCAAATCCTGACTATGGCCAACAGTCTGCATATAGAGAAACAGGCAACACTGAGACCTACCTCAAAGCCTGGAACCTGAATTTGTCAAGGAATTCTTCCTGTTTCTTTCTCAAAGGAGTTACTGGTAACTGAAACACATTTAGACCTGAAAATTAATTCTGGGGATCCTTCACAGCAAGCCACAGAAGCCACAGTGGCTACTGAAGACATTTAACAATGGTTCGTATCATAACTTTGCTTTTAGAAGGACAATCAAGGTCTTTCTTTGCAAAACTTTTCATCGTAGTTTTTACTGTCATCAATGTTTTACTAAATCACTATCTGAAGGCTTTAGCAATTCAGACCAAAGAATCAGCAAAAGAGCTAATAATTTTCATCTCAAAGAATCTTCGAGAATTCTTTGACTAAGACATACAAAGAGTTGCTGCAGGACTGATTATCTGCATGTAAGTACTTAAGCGAACTAAATTAAGATACGAGACCTTAGTGTTTCAGTTGGCACAGAGAGAGAACAGTGCCACTGGAAAATAACCAGAAGGCAGGGTACAAGGCTTCAGTAAACTGAGTTTTGAATTTATAGATGATGTTATGCTTCTCCCCAACAGCCATGAAAATCACAAACCCTCCCTCACAGTGGAGCAGCACACCAATCTTGGTAGCCTTCACGTTAGGTAAGCACTTTTCAACATCATTATGCCAGGATGATATTTTGGAATTAAACCACTCAATACACCAGGAACTGCTGTTCCTCCCCAGGCGGCTCTCTGGTCCATGCCGGTCCATGCTGCCGTAGCAGATGCCAATGGCACAGAAGTTGTTCTGTTGCAGTTCCACCTCCCAGTAGTGGACGCCTCTCTTGAAGCACTGGAAACCCAGCACTTGGGAACAATCGGTGAAGCGCTGAGGGTGGTGGTTATAATTCAGGGGAATGTCTGAGACAGACATCCTGGTATATTTCTCAGACAGAATCACTTTGTTATGAGCTGTGTTGTAATCCAGCGTGATGTCAGCAGCATCTGCAATGACATGAATTGTTTGAAGGTACTGAAGAGCAAAACACTTTTATTTATCCTGTCCTGCCCAGGCACTCGTTCCTATGCATCTTTATCTCCCAGCTCTGCTCTCCTCCACAGTGCAGGCAGTTCTTAGGGCCAACAGTAATAGCTGCTGGGTTCAACCGCAGCTCTGTGTTACACAGCAGGCAACTGGAGGGCAAGTTTCCTTTCTTCTTGCATCCCCATGGGATTCCTTCACCACCCAAATAGATGCTGTCAGAAGAAGCGGGTTGCTGATCTGGCAGCGAAAGGTACACCATATTGTATACCATCTGGTACAGCATCTTAAGCAAGCCATCATGGGCTCACATAAAAGCCTGCATTTCATTTCAAAGAAAAATCCAGTGCATTACATTGTATTTCTAGGCTACCCTACTGCAGTCATTTTGGGGGAAACCAAAGCCATTACTGATAAAATTTCACTTACCTTCATAAAAATACATGAAAACCGAAGATAAATATGATTCACCTAGCAAAGGAACCACTTAGAAGCCTCCTGCCCCCTTTTCCTCCAAAACTTTCCTTCATTTGTAACAACGAGTTGATAACCTGCTAAGCTCACTAAAATCCCCTCGAAAGTATTTTTGTCAGATAACTACAGAGGGCACGTAGCACCAGTGCAGTAAGTGCAGAAACTTCATCTTTAAGTAGTGTAACATTGGGTGTCTTACACTGCAAAAGCTCCTCTCTGGATTTCTTCAGAAAGCTGTCAATAAGCTCTTTAGTTGACATGCCAGCTGCAGCAGTTACTGCTCCCGTGGTTGGTGCTGTGTCGACAGGAGAAAAGAAAGTTTGGGCAGTTGGGAAGAAACCCTGCATGCTTAACACACCATCACAGACACACTCAGGTTGGAGTGGACCTCCAGAGGTTATCTGGTTTAGCCTCCTGCTCCACGCAGGGTTAACTTCAGTATTAGCTCAGGTTGCTCACCGTCTTGTCAAGTTTTGAAAATCCCCTGTTGTCTCTGGGCAACCTCTTTGCGTGCTTGATTGTTCTCACAGTGACTAGCAAGAGTCTTCTCAGAGCAAGAGTCGAACTTTTGCTTAATACACCGACACTAGTGACCATCTACTTACCATTTTAAGAACAGTCAATGAAAATTAGAATAAGTATGCTGAAAGTTTGGACTCACCAACTTTAACAGGTTTCTTCTCCTCTAGAGGGAAATAAAAAAAGGTGACCTGTGAGTTCTACTGAGACTGAAAAGCCACTGATAGACTATGCCAGCCTTAGCACCATCATCATGGCTCTTCTGAAGCTGCAGCAGTAGATAAAGCTGACAGTCCAGCATGTCGAAGCCATGTACAAATACACCCACACTGGAAAGCTACACGTGCAGCACAACCTACTATTGGCTTCCTATTTCACAGGGTCATAAATCGAGAAGCAGCTTCCTCTCTACTCCAGGATGCAGCATGTTAGGGCAAATGGGAACAGCCTTATTACCACGAGGCACACAGACTATTCCTTTTCTTTTTACAAAAGAACTTCTAGTGCAGCAACAGGAGCTACAAGTCCATTCAACTCCAGCATCCCCAATAGACCCCGCTGAGTGCTCCACACCCAGGACTTGTGAACGGAAAGGACCATGTGTCAAGAGCTCAGTGGAAGTAACAGAAGTAGTTTCTTAACACTTGGGTTTATTTCAAAAAGAATACGGCACATCTTCCAAACAGGCTAGAGTGCCACACTAATACTGCTATCTGGGCAAAACACCACCGAAAGGCCCCAGTATAACCTGCCACAAAGACTGTCTCCATCACCCCCGTCTTAGACTGTAGGCAACCTGTGGTCAGCAAAATGTCTGAGTAAGGCTGCTGTTAATCACCACTTAATGGTATCTGCCTCCACCTGCAATGTGCCTTGGGTCTGGTGAAGGATTTTCTCTTTATGAGTATGCTCTTGTCAGGGGGGGGAAAGGAAAAAAACCAACCAAACAGAACATGAACAGCTCGTAAGCAGGATTCAGTACATACAAATCCATCAAATAACCCAACATGTTTAGTACAAACGAAAAATACCGACTGCAAGAACCAGAGGGTGGGGAGGCTCTGCTGTGCTTCACAGCCTGCACTGGCACCACCACGGGCGCACGCTGAGGCTCAGGCACCGTCGTAGCTGTGCTGTTTGCTGCGTTACAGCTGGCAAGGCGTCCGTCAGTAAAGAGCCCACAAAGCCCTCCCTTTCCCGTGCCAAAGTGCTCGCTACAGATAATCACTGCATCATCGCTACAGCAAACAGCTCTTGGGCAACTGCTTGAATTCTTACTTAATGGTAAAACCATAGTTAGGAGAGGATGATGTTCTTTAGTACTTACGTGGTCCCGCAGGCTTTTTTCCAGCAGAGGTTTTGTTTGGAGAAGCCACTGGAGGGGCTTTAGTTTTCCCAGGTGTTAGTTTTGCTGCAATGGCGATATTTTACATTATCATTTGTATTGCCAGGAACAGTAATGCGTTAGCAAGGACATTTTTCAATCTTATTTTTCCATTATGCGAATAGAACTTAAGTGATACTCGGCAGAGATGGAAACTGCATAGAAGATACCCATGCCCCAGTCCAAAAGATACTTTTGGTTAACCTGGTAAGTAGGGCTTTGTTCTACACCACTTACACAATCAGCACCTTTGTCGTTGGGTAAACGTAGTCCTATCACTCTAAAGCGTTTTATATCTCCCCTCAAATCCACATCCTAACTGCATCCAACCCTGTTACACAATCAAAAACATAAATTACTGTAAGGAATAAAGGCTGAGCTGTGCCAGAAGGGCATGGTATCATGATACTCGTCAGCTTATCCAAGTATAGATAAAAGCAAGAGACCCTGGCATGTTTTTGCTCCTAGTTTAGCCCAGACCATAGCATTTTCGTGTGGAAATGGAGGACTGTAGAAGTTGGAAGACACAATTCATATTAACCAACTGTATTTGCTGCACTGTTGTTTTTTTTTTTTTAAATGATATTTGGACTGGAGGGGGAAGATGCCTCATTTAAACTCAAAGCCAAAGCAGAAAATACCAGTTATCCCAGTGATACAGTACCTTCCGCTTTTTTTTCCCTATACTGAGTCACTGAAAGTTTCACAGTGTCTTTAAGGTTAACGGCAGACTGGTAAGTGGAATGTATCAAGTTTTGGTCCATTTCAATTACAGGAACAAAAGCGTCTTTTGTTGATGTTTGTTGCAGCGCTACTGCCCTCTGAAACGACAAATGGAAAATCTCATGCAGACCACCTTGTGCCGCAGACAGAAAAATGCAACCAAGTTACTTTAAATGGGGTGGGGTCTCTGCAATCATCTCAAATTCAAAGGAGCGAAGGCTACAGTCAGACACAACCCATGGCAAAATTTCAGCAGCAACCCACATGCATTAATTCTCAACTGACACCTGAAGCAGCAGGACAGACCTACGGGACGGCATCGCAGCACGGAGCTGCAGCACCTCCTGGAGATGAGTTGTCTCGCCTGCTGGCCCCTCTGCTTGCGGAGAGGTAACGGCTGAATTTGGGGGGAGTTTCCAGACACCACTTCATTTCAGCACTCTTTGATTGATATTTGTGTACTTATCAGTACAACCTTTTCTAGCAGGTTCTTGCACACAAATGCATTACCATTTCACTGAAAGTGTCTGGAGAGCAGGAGTACCTCAGCAGGTTTTTGTGATTCTGCACTCTAGAAACATGAAGAATTGTATTTGCATTTAAAGGACATATTACCTTCAAAAACAAAACGTCATCATCTTCAGTCAGTGCCATCTCAATCTGATCTCTGAGAGACTGAATTTCATTCTTCTTACTTCCCAGAACACCGTAAACATAATCAAACTTATTGTGAACTCTTTTTTCTTCATCTGCAATTACTTTCAAGGTCTGATTTTCTCTTTCTTCAACTAAAGCTTTAATTTCTAAAAACTCACTTCTGATCAAATCTTTCTTTCTGGAAGCTGCCTCCTGGAGCAGACAAGAACAGACAGACACTGGTTTCAAAAGAACAGTTTGTGGACAAAGTACTGCTTACTACTACTACAAAAAAGCCTTTGAGGAACACGTAGGCTTCAATTACTTGAAACAGGCAATAGAAAAGCTATGTATTTCTATGTAGTTTGGAAAGAAAACTCATTTACTCCCAAGGAATCAGGGCAATTCTCGGTCTCCAGACCGCTGCTGCCAGGCAGAGGCGAGGCCAGCCGGGCCAGTTACCAGCCCTGGGACAGGGCTGTGCCACCGCCAGCTCGGACACCACACACCCACTTGCACGGCTGTGGCTGTTTGCCTCCGAGATACGGCATCTCTGGTTAATACAAAGTTATTCCTGATCCTCCGAGAGATGTTCCAGAGGAGGACAGAAGTGCTACCCTGATGGCTTTTCAGCTTCTTGGTCTCTACCACTCAGTTCAGAAAGGATGGGGCAAGTACCCGATCCAGCTGTCAGCACAAATGGCAACCCCGATCATCAGCTAAGAGCAAGGATTAGTTGTGGTAATTTGTGGGGAAGAGCCATCCCAAATTTCTGCACTGGTGAAGCTGTTACAGCTCACTAATCCTTTAGCTTGGGCTGCACTGATGCATGCTTTCTGGTGCAACTGGAAAGGGCGGGTTTGAGCCCCATCATTACGGGTGGGGTGTGTCAGCACAGGTGGGTATAAGGAAAGGATGGGTTTCAGCTCCGTTACAGGCCAGGTGTGTCAGCACGTAAGGGTATAAAGCCCTTGCACGGTGGCTCTGACAAAACACCTCTGTTCTGTCCCTTCCCGATGACATTTTCTCCTGCCGGTGCAATCTCAACACTACAGCCGTTGTCACAAGAGTACGAGCATCAACACCAAGCAGGGGCCAGCATATGCCAAGCAACCTGACAGCATTTTGAACAGTTACGCACTTACAGCAGCTTGGCTTTGGTTTGTTTTCACAGTGTTCATTGCCCGAGCAGCTCTTTCGCTCTGATTGCGCAGCTCCACAAGTCTCTTCTTCAGCACCAACTGCAACAGAAGAGATGAGGAAATATTTCAGACCAGCAGTTGCCGTGCCTGCTCTCAGTCGGGTCATGCTTACTGGAGTAAGAATTATATTTACACAAAGTTTTAAATAACCATTGTAAGTATTTAGTACTATTGGTTTAAAACCTACTGCTCCTTAAATCTGTACAGGATGTAGAAGTACTCTCCTGTACATGTGCGGTTTGCGGAGCCAGCATCCTCCCCACAGCTCCCCCTCTCCCAACAGCAAGAGACACGCTGTTGATTCACTGTTGATAAGGACTGAGTGCTTTCATCAGCACAGCGGTTCCCAGCACCAAGAATAAACTTTACGTTAGCTCTCAGGTTGGACTTTGCGCACTAGGTTAACGCTACTGTTCACCCCTCTCGTTTTAATTGGGAATTTTATTGCTCAGATATGAATTACCTATTCCTTTAGTTCAAGATGCTGCTAAGCTAAATCAGGGAGGACTTCGGAGGGTAAGCAGTATACACGCTCACCCAACAGATGGGAGTTCGGCCACCTAAACTTTTCAAGTGTGTGTTACTCATCCACCCTCTGATTTTCAGCTGCACTGTAAGATATGAAGGCCAGGTTTCCTTCCCTTCCACTCTGTGGAGAACCTGCTCCTGGCTTTTACCTACATGCTAGAGATCTCCCTAGGTTACTTTTATAATTCTTTGCTTCTTAAGAACGTACCCAGAGCATCGTCTGTCTACAGGCCCTCGGTCAGCGAACCCTGCGCAGCAGAGGAGGCTCAGAGTTGCGGGAGACACCCACAGAGGCAGGAGGCCTCATAGCTCAGCCCAGCCCAAGACAGGAGCTGGCAATCAACTCCATGACAGCGCCTTCCCAGACTCTCAGAGCAGCATTTTGGAGAGAGGAGGAGAACGCAAGGAACGACCGAAGACGTGCTGGAGCACGCGTTGGAGGGCGGATAGCAGTTTGCCAAGGGCAGGCGTGAGATTTACAGCCCAAGTCTTGGTCCATCCTCCC